TATAAATTTATAACAATAATGTTATAATTATTACATTATCAATCATTTAAATAATTGCATTGCTCATGTTTTGTTGCTCGAAACAAAATGGCAACCAAAAAATTTTACGCACTTTGCCCTTAAAACCCAATGGTATTAGTCATTGAAAAGTGCATTTTTCTTTTTTTTTTACGGTTTTAAACCTGTCTCATATAAAAAAATTTAAAAAAAAAAAGAAAAAAATAAAAAATTTAAAAAATATATATTTTACCATTTAAATTATAAAATATTAATATTTTGATTTAGACTCGTTCTTTATTTAAAAAATATTTATTTTATAATTTAAAATAATTTATATAATAAAATAGTTTATTAAAAATGTACTAAAAACTGTTGTATAAGATAAATTATATAATTTATCTTCTAAAATTATTTAAATATATTTTAATAAAATAATATAAAAATAAATTTAAAAGTATTTAAATACAATTGATCCAGTAAAACAGTTTTCATACAAATTTAATTCGAAATGGGTAAAGTCTAGGGTTATTTCGGTATTTCACCAAACGATTATTTTTTTAATTTCAATTTTTTGTTTTTAACAATATTCAGGTAACAGCACGGTGACCCAGCGGAATCTACAAGTCCAAACGAGCCACCACGTGTCAGACACAAAGCGAACTTCAGCCTGAGCTCACATTGTTTACTCTATTAACAGAACCACCTAAACATTTCGCTGCTTCTTCGCTTCTTCACTTCTTCCCCATTGCCGTTCGAGACCAGTTTCTGATCTCCGGTCTGAACCTCCGAGAACTCGAATAATCAAGAAAAATGACAGAGGCGGTGATAAGGAAGAAGCCAGGGATGGCTAGCGTCAAGGATATGCCGATCCTACAAGACGGGCCTCCTCCTGGTGGGTTTCCTCCAGTCCGATACGCCCGTCGGATACCTAACAAGGGTCCGAGTGCAATGGCTATTTTTCTTGCTGCTTTTGGCGCCTTCTCTTATGGCATGTACCAAGTCGGCCAGGGTAACAAGATCCGAAGGTCGGTTATTCTCTGTCCATAGGCCTTGGATTAGTGCTTGTTTCTTGATTTTTCGATGTGGGTTCTGTAGGGCTGTGGGTTAAACTTATGGGTTTCGATGGATTTTGATTCAGGTGTGGAATATGTATGTCTTCTTTATTTTGCTTGATATTGCATTGAATTGTTTTAGTATCCTTGGGTTTTTATTGGGTTCTAATCATGTTAGCTTCAAATGAGAGTTTTTGGGGATTGGTAGTTTTGGGGGCAAGGAAATTGAGTGGTTGTTTCATGAATAGCAATGAATTATCTGTATTTGACGATAATCAAGGAGATTATATTAATGAAGTAATATTCATGGGAAAGAAATGCAAGTGGGAATATAGAAAATGAAGTAATATGGCCTCATCTGGGTAAGAAGGGAATTGGCTTCCAGTATGCAAAATTGCAAAGTTTTGATATGTCTTATATGCAGGGAATACAACCCATCTTATGAATTGGTATTGGGGGATTTAATGTGATAAGTTAGGATGGTATGAAGGTTTCTGGTCTATAATTTTGTAGAATGGTCGATAATCAGTTGATCACAATCACGTTATGCTGTTGCTTGCCCCTGATTTCAGGACAGCGCTGTTACATTTTCACACTAATGCCACTTTGTTTCTGTAGTGCGAAATAATTAAGTTACAGTCTATAATGTCATGGCTACTCCATTATAGTTATTTTGATTGTTTCTTTTCATTTTGCATTATGGGGTCTGAACTTTTTTGTGTAATGTCATATTTACTTTGTTATTGTTTCTTCTATTGTTTCATTTTGTTATGGTTAAGGGGATTAATAAAAGCACTTTATGCAGGGCACTCAAGGAGGAGAAGTATGCTGCACGCAGAGCAATATTGCCTGTGCTTCAGGCTGAGGAAGATGAAAGGTAAATTTTAGACCTGTCTCTACTCATGCTTTCTTTCCTATCCCCATTGAACAAATTCACTCTTTTTTTTAAATTACTTACCTGTTTTCTTTCTTCAGATTCGTCAAAGAGTGGAAGAAGTATCTTGAATATGAGGCTGAAGTAATGAAAGATGTTCCTGGTTGGAAAGTTGGTGAAAGTGTTTATAATTCTGGGAAATGGATGCCCCCAGCAACTGGTGAGCTTCGACCTGATGTCTGGTGACATTGCTTTGGCATCTCTATTTTTGTGTTGCATCTTTATGGTCATTATTTTCCTATTCTGTTCATGTAAGTTTAATGGTACTACTCTATCTTGTTCCATTCTAGAGAAATAAATGCCAGAAACCAATTTACATGTGTTGGAAATACATCTTATTGCAGAACCTGTATTTCCTCCTCAAGACATCATTGTCTCTTTCAATTTCCACAAAATACATAAGAAAGATGATATTGCATCTTATGCTTTTGTTACATTTTGTGGTTAAACGCTCTGTCTACATTTTTTTTTTTTTTTCATTTGCAATATAAAAAGGAGTATAATTGGGTACTCCTCAAGAGTCAAGGCATCTTAGGAGTGCCAGTTTTGTGCACTTACTTTCTACACTCCTTTCAAATACTCTTTGTGATTAAGCTATGCACCATAAATTGTCTAGTCTAGTCCGATTTTATCATGCAGTTGGACCTAACCATGCATGGGGCAAGGGCATGTAGTTGTGTTCTTGATTTATTCAATTTTTTCTAACATTCATGATTATCTGATGTTTGTTATTGTCGTCCCACATTTCTACTCTCTTTTATTCATCATTGCCACCCATACATCTTATAAGCGTAGTTCTTACCACCATCTTGACTGGCGTAAATACCAGCACTTCTTAATTTCCAAAAGCAATCCAGGCCATCAAAGCAATGCACTGCGCGAAATAACTTAGTGGCATCGAAAACGTCAAAGGATGCAAATTTGTTTCTCTTAGGCCACCTACAGCTACAAGAGAAACGAGTGGTTTGGAAAATGTTGCTCTTAAACCGGAAGTTGAATTCCTCATTTCTCTTGAGCTGATGGTCCCCGAGATCGTCGTCGCCAGATTTGCACTGACACCACACAGTGGATCTAATTCCGCTGGTTATGTGAACAGTGTATGTGGGGAATTGCTCATCGAACCAGCGTGTGAAAAAACTTTTAGATAATGCAAAATCAGCCAGGGCGAGGAAGAGGAGGAGATGAACAACAACCCACGAAGTAGACATCTTTGATTTATTGTATGACACTTGGTGTGGTTGAGGTTGATGTATACCCCCAGAAGCAAAGTAATTTATACTAGTTAGTAACTATGAAAAATTTATTCAACAAAGGATGGTTTTTTAAGAAAACTGAAAAATTTTATAATCAGTTGTAAATTAATTAAAGAGTTTTCGGTTTGACAGCAGTTAAAAATAAAGAGGTTTCAATCGTCAGAAGAACTTTTCTTTAATTTTTTGGCCGAAACATTAGTTTTTTTTTTTTTCTCTCATATTGGGTATTTCTACTTTTTTTCCTTCTTAATTTCCATGAAAAAGTAATACGTTAATTTTTCTTTTCTTTTCTCTATTACTTCAATTAGTAGAGAATTTTTTCCATTTTGTACTAGTCATCACTTGGATGATAGGTTAAGAAGTAAGAATGCACTGGTCAAAAACTTAAGTAGATCAGTTAATCTCTTTTTAATGAAAATAAGCGATATTGAATTCGAATCGCATAATATGTAGATTGGATAAATTAAAAGATATATGAAAATTTCTTTATATTAGATAACTTAATATTAAAAAAAATGTTGCTTTAGTTTAATCATTTTAAATCATGATAAATATTATAATTTGTTATGAAGAATTATTATCTTTTGATAATCATAAACCGATCAACAATGAGTTGTTTACAACAGATTCTCATAACATTCACATTACATCAAATAAATGGTAACTAATGTTACTTGCATACATGGAAAGAGAAACTCCTTAGATTTTCATTCAAAACCGTAATGCCTTCTGTGTTTTTCGGTTTTCCGCCCGTTATCTGACGTTTCACCCTGACTAATCTGGACCCGACTCGGGTCGCGCATCTGAAAATGGTAGGTGAGTCTCCCAACGAAGGCTGTTGCGTACGCAAAGACTCGAACTCAAGATCTTGTTTAAGTTGGAACAAGCCGCTTACCACTTGATCCAACCTCTCGTTTGTTAATGCCTTCTGTTCTGTGTTTAAAACACTAAAAGTGTATCATAGCATCGAAAAGGTATTTTTGAAGTTAGATAGCCTTTTGAGGTGCAATGTGACATAAATTTATTAAAATGGCGGTTCACATGAAAATCATGAATCTCTTACTTTAAAGCCATTTCATCATATGCAACTGGGGCCAACAATAAAGGCCAAGCGCATGTGGTTTCTTGTTCTTGATTTATTCAAAATAAATTTATTTATTAAAAAAAATTTTAACTCATGCCTAAGTCACAGTTTAAAATTTAATTATTATGGCTTTTTACATTAATTAGAAGGAAAAATACAAAAGTTAATATTAGTTTTATCATTAATTTTATGTAGATAATTTTAATTGAATAGTTAATTAAATGAAAGAATTGAGGAAAATTAAGATATCCTAACAATTAAAATATTAAGACTAATAATGAAAAAACTAAAATATTTGTAATGAATTAATATGTAAAAAAAATCTATTAAGGGTATCTAAATAATTTCTCAAGAAATTTTGACATTTAAAATGTTAAAACATCCTAATTTTTAATTTTTTGTTATATTGTAACTGAATTGAAAAGAATAGAAAGAAGGGGAGGAGAGAGGAAAATTTTCATTTACTTTATTTGAAGGGAGGGGGAGGAGAATGGAATAATACAATTTCTCTCCTCTCTTTTCTATTTCTTTTAACTTGAACATATAAATAAAAGTTAATTTTTACTCTCTTTTTTTAATATCAATTAAGGTTAAAAATGTGAAACAATTACACCTTTAAAATTAAAAGGAAAAAGTATGGTACAACCTGAAATGTACCAAACTACATAATATTAATCATTGGATAGAAGTTAGAAGTAGAGGTTAGGACTCTTGATATTGGAGACCCTTGCCAAATCTTGTGGTTCTTACTTTATAATTCAATGTAATTTAGATTGTAAAATAACATTTTCTTTTTTTTCTTTTTTATGCCGGTTGCACAACGAAAGGCAACTCTCTCCCATCTCTTATCCCACCTCACCCGCATACTATACAACTCAAACTCAAGATCTCTTACTTCTAGTAGAAGGAGATTATGTTAGAAGGAATAATGTTGACGCTAGTTAATCCCCGATGCTTGGCACTTAATACAAGTTAGTCCTCGAGTGTCCTTAAGTGCTATTGTTGCCATATATATAAATAGAGATTATGTATAGACTTTTTTATGAATAGAAGATTCAAGATTTCCCTTTTCACTTTCTTCTTTTTCATTTCTTCTCCACTGTTATTATGGTATCAGAGCCAAGCAAATCTCCAGTTTACGGTGACCCAACAATTCCATCTTCGAATCATCATTCTATTATCTACAATTTCTGATCTTATATCTCACAACCTTTTGTCTCACAACCTTTTGTCTCATCACCAGATAAAATCCCCAATCTTTCAAAGCCCTAACTAACATAACATTGCCTCAATCATCTCATACTACAACTTCTTCATCTTTATCAAATCTCATCACACAAAAGCTTACATCTGATAATTTCTTACCATGGAAGGGACAAATTGTTCCAATTGCAAGAGGATATGGAGTCATGGGTTATCTAGATAAAGGCTACAATCAACAATATGGATTAGACTATGAAGAAACTTTCAGTTCAATTGTAAAAATAGGGATTGTGAGACTAGCTTTGGCCATGGCAAATTACTATAAATGGCAACTTCATCAATTGGACGTGAAAAATGCCTTCTTACACAGAGAACTACAAGAAGAAGTGTATATGAAGCAACCTTCAGGGTACAATGTTGCTAATACTAATAAATGGGTTTGTCAATTAAGAAAGGCAATTTATGGATTGAAACAAGCTCCTCGCGATTGGTTTGAAAGTCTTGAAAGTCTCTGCAAAACACTTCTCTTAAGTGGATATTCTAGGAGTAAATCAAATAACTCCTTGTTCTTCAGGAGAGAAGGTATAAAATTAGTCATGGTACTTGTTTATGTTGATGACATTATTATTACTAGAAATGCCAAGGAGTCAATTGACAAATTGAAGCATACTGTTGGTCATGAGTTTGCTATGAAAGATCTAGGGGATCTTAAATATTTTTTGGGGATAAAGATTGAACGCTCATCACATGGAATGACAATAACTTAACAAAAGTATGCTCTTGATCTTTTGACAAAGATTTGGCTTAGATAATTGTAAGTCGGCACCAACACTAGTGGTTCCTGGTAGTAAATTGTATCAAAAGGAAAGCACTCTTGTGAAGCATCCTGAGAAGTATAGAAGTCTTGTGGGAGCTTTGCAATAGTTGACCTTTACTCGACCATATATCACATATGCAGTAAATCAAGTATGTCAATTCATGCATGATTCACGAGAGGCACATCTTCAAGCTGCAAAAAGGATTTTACAGTGTCAAAGGTACACTACATAATGGCTTGTTCTTTTCAGCTCACAAGACAAAAATTGATCTTGTTGCCTTCTCAAATGCTAATTGGGGAAGAGATCCAGATTCTAGAAAATCCATTTCTAGTTTTTGTGGTTTGCTGGTTCCCTCATTTCATGGAGTAGCAAGAAGCAACGAAAGGTGTCTAGATCTAGCACAGAAGCTTAATACAGAGCCATGTCAGATGCAGCCGCTGAACTTGCCTGGTTTAGACATCTCTTCTCTAAGCTAGGCATCAAATTTTCTAATGCATTCCTTGCTTGTGATAATCAAAGTGCCATCAAGCTTGCTTTAAATCTCACTTTTCATGCAAGGAGCAAACATTTTGAGTTGGATTGCCACTTCATTCGAGAAAAGGTAGAAGATAAAGAAATTCATTTGAGGTTTGTCCCTTCAACTGAGCAACTAGCAAACATCTTCACTAAAGGTCTTCCTACTTCACAACATGAGTGGATTACAAACAGAATGTCAATGTTACACAATGACATCTGTTTGAGGGGGGTGTTAGAAGGAGTAATGTTGATGCTAGTTAATCCCCAATGTTTGGCACTTAATACAAGTCAATCCTCAAGTGTCCTTAAGTGCTATTGTTGCCATATACATAAATAGAGATTCTATACAGACTTTTTTATGAATAGAAGATTCAAGATTTCCCTTTTCACTTTCTTCTTTTTCATTTCTTTTTCACTGTTATTAGATTATTACTAAATTATTTAAGTCGTTCGTGTAAAATAAAAATTTTAAATTAAAAATATACAAAAATTACATTTTATCATGTTCACACTTTAAAATACCCTAAAAGCGATACCTTTTTGGAAATTAATTACCTCGATCTAATTAAAGATTAGTGCAATATTCATATTGTTGATGTTAATTTTTGTTGTCCCATATTACACTTAGTGGCTAATGTTGCTAGCGCCTGTTAACGGAGGGTTTGGAGCATCAATTCTACTACCGAATCTTATACTCTATTTTTCAGATATAAAAACTAAGAATTAATCTCTACACTTGTATTTAAAATTATAAATAAGTCTATCACCATTCTCCGTGCTTGATGTTTATATATACTCCATCATTTGGTTCATAAAAATCAGCATTAGTTCCAATTGTAGACTGGCCCATGATAGGGTGTATCATCGTCTCTTCTGAAATAAATACCATCTTCTGCTAGTAGCCAAGAGCGAGGCCCGGTAAAACGTCCGCAATTATCCGGCGCGGGGAAAACGTCAAAGGACTTTTGTCTTCCTCTGGTTGGCCACCTACAGTAACAAAAGAAAAGTGTCCCCAGAGTCTGCATGAAATTAATGTGGAACTCCTCATTTTTCCGGAGCTCATGATCCCCAAGATCATCGTCGCCGGATTTGCAGTGGCACCACACAGGGGAATCATTACCATTGACTACGTTAACATGGGTCATACAAACAGAATCTTCAAGAAAAAGGAGAACCCTAAATAGTAGAAAATTGAGCAGGGCCAGGACCATGTGGAGAAGACCAACAACAACCCACGAGGTGGACAGCTTTTCTTTTGTGGTTGAGGTTGATATATTACGCAGAAAGAAAAACTAATTTATACCGCTCGCTAACTATGGAAAAAAGGTTATTAAATGATGTAGTAGATTTTTAAAAAATGGTAGATTTAAAAAAAAATGAAAAAAAATATTGTCAGATTGTAAATTAATAAAGGAGTACTTAGTTTCAAAGGGTAAAAAATAAAGAGCTTTCAGTTTTCAAGATACTTTTTAATCTTTATTATCATTATTTTTGTTTACGTTGCAAGAAGATTATTTTCTCATCTTTAATTTCCCTTATTTGCATATCATATCACTCAAAAACCACATTATGTATGAAGTACAAAATTAGTCACCGATTTATGTAAAGTACAACTAGGCAACTTCATTTTATGCAAAACCCAGCATACAGAGTATGTACCAAAACCCAGCATACAGAGTACTGGATGCTTACTGCATGCCCAGAGCATAACTAGGCACTGCTTTATATAAGTACATTATTTTAGTGGTTTTTTTTGTTTTTTGTTTTTTTGGCCAACGCTCGCTTAGTATTAAATATTTGGGAACTGCAATTGGAGATACGTTCAGAGCAACAGTGACAGTGGTCCTGTTCCACCTTCCTTGTCAGCATCAGGAATGCTGTTGTAGTGGAAGATGCAGTTGGACATTTCCCAGCTCCAGTCCTCCTTCCTGGATATGAGCAATCGGGGCCATCTGTTTATCCTAACATAATGCTCCCTGATCCTTCCTTCACCCACAAAAAAGCTTGTGACTATACAATAACAGCACTCGTGGCCGCCCCAAACCTGGTCACCAGGATCTGCAGTTTGGCTCCCATCTGGATGGAAGTAGCGGCGCATGCTTGGGCCAGTTCCCTTCCAATAGGGATCAAGATTTCGCCAGTATTCTGGAGCTGCCTGCAAGCAAGATAAAACTGGTCAGATGTTCAAATTTAGCTTAAGGGAAAGGACTATAATTTGGTTTGTGTATCATGAGATCAAGACTAGACTACTGGTGGTTAATTATTATTCTGAGAATCATATTAACAGAGTGAGAGAGAATTATTTGGAGAAGGATTTACAAAACTGATGACGGCATTGAGGAAATAAAGTTAATCTTCAACAACGACTGCATTTTGTTAGAGTAGCTGATTTAAAGAAAGCAAAAAGGAAACTCTTTTCACCAATTCAAAAATTCAAACCTTTCTACTACTGATTCATTTCAAGGCACTTGCAATCTTCAAGCCGTTGAATCACAGCTGCACTACACATACTAAGAATCAAGCATGATGTTCATAGTAGACCTAGTTCACAGGATAAAACACTCTCTGCCTCTAACTGGATTATAATTGTGAGGCACATACCTTGGTAAAATGAAATTCCCAAGCATGGTCGCAAAGATCATCCCTCAAGATACGGGTCTGTTCAATGAGTAAAAAAATTAAATCAGTGGCAACAACAATTTCTAGACCACAAGGATTCAAGGGAAGTCAGTTTGTGCAAAAGCATGCACAAACACTTTGCATCAGCAGTGTGGGTGATATATATATATATATATATATGGCCATCTACATGGGTGAGATGAGCATAAGGGATTTATGACAACTCACACGTCTGCCATCCATGACAGATATAGAATAAGCGGCCAGTTTAGAAAGTCCCCGGGCTTGTGATGCACGAGGTATGTGTGCTTTCCCATGCCACAGTTCCTCACACTAAGAAAGCAAACAAAACAGCAATTAGTCTGGTCTGCATCTTTCATGGCAGGGTGAAACTCTGTCTTAACACACTGCAAATTCATCGACATCATAAGCATCCTCAACAAGCAACAAGATGACAGTTAACTGGTAAATAAAATATGTAAGTGAAAGAACCATAGATTCTAGACAACTACTGGATCCATTATTTCTTATTTTTCTCAATTTTGGAGTATGCTCCTTTTAATTGTGGTAACACTGGGGATTGGGTTGGCACAGCCATACAGTTACTGGCAGGCAACTAGAGCCTAAAGGTCTTTCTCAAATCCTTTCATCTTCATATTGTTCTCCAGACAATATATTCGACACAGCTGCTTCCCCGTCTTCCTTTTTAGGTTCTGAATGCTATATCTTCCGGAAAGGCTCCTACTTTTGGCTTCTTAATCAAGTGCCATCATCAATAAGACTCAGTTTCAAAGAGATGAGAAAAAAAAAAAAAATGAAAGGATATATTTTCACCTGAAAAACAAGTCTTACCTCATTGAACATTAAAAAGTCTTGGTCAAGCATATTTATATGAAAACCTAACCTGTAAAATCAAAGATGATGACCTGCATCAACAACTACCGGCAGTTGGTAGAAGGGAAATAGCTTATTTCATACTGGGCTTGTACAGGTTCAGCTTCACACAGATAAAATGATTTAGAAGGTTTACACCCAAATGACTTTTTACAAAAACCATTTTATCAATCATGACCTACCATAAATACCAATCTCCAAGTCTACCACCATTCTGCTAATCGTAACAAATGAGAGAAGGCTGATGTACAGCCAGTCCATATTTTGACTGCCCTGTAAACTCAAAACTACAAGTCTACAACCACAATATTGACCATTAATTACATATCCATCACTTAATCAAGCTAGAAATCATCTACAGTAATCAACACCACCTCCTAAATATACTATCTGTCTAAAATGACCACCCCTGCTACATTTTCTTCAATGAATGCCTAAGAAAAGAATCTATCAAGGAAAGAAAACCTCATAACAGTAGCTAAGATCTAAAAAGAAAAAACACAAAGTGGCATGAGGAGGTAACTCCAATCCAACCATATAGTGAATGTGAAGGTCGATAGCCTAGGTCAGGATTAAACCTATTCATCAGAATCTTGAAACTAAATCAAATTTAAATCAGTAGTTAAACAACAACAACAAAAGAAGAAAATAGATAATGAACAAGCATTACAAGAATGAAAAGTTAGGCTAAATCTAAAATTCAATATAATCAAAGCAATTACTGCATAAAATTCTAAGGCAAGGTAGAATTTGGCATAAAAAAATCTCCAGCACAACCATTTAACAAACATAAGAACCAAATTCCTAATATACTCCCCCCAAACCCTAAATTACAAATAATTCTATTTAAAAAAAAAAAAAAATCTTCAAATAACACAAAAATTCGACCTGGGAATTTAGCCTAACCCCTCTAAAAGACCCATTTCTCAATTCCTCTAGAAAAAGGCAAACACACAGAATTTTGATCATGCAACCTAAACCGCAGAAAGATTAAAACTTTATTCACAAAAAAAGTCAGCATCAAACAATGAACTCCAAAACTTTGAAAAAAGGGAAGCAACCTTGGAACTCCAAAGCCTATCGCTTGAAGCAACGCCATGCCAAGCACGGGAAACGAGGAGTGATAGTGCCACGCTGCGTGCGTCGAGGTTGCTCAGAATCATCATCATGATGTCCCTTCCGAACACCTCCAATGGATCCTGCAGAACCTCTTCACCTAGAAATTTTTCCCCTTGCGGGACTTCTTCAGTCTGCTCTTCCTCTCGCTTCCTCTTACCAAACTTCCTTTCTCCTCCTCCTTCGGGGCCTTCATTACTCTGGCGTTCCATCCCCAGACCCATCATTGAGACGGCGAAGGGAATCGGGAGAGAAAGGGAATGAGTGACTGCGTAGTTGGAGTTGGAGAGGAGGGGTGGATGCATGCGGATCAAGTTGCATTGAGGGCTGGTGATGGTGATATCAGCACGACTCGGATTCTGTGCGTGCGCCGACACCATTTTTTTTTTTTTCTGGTTTTGGATTGTATGCCAAAGGGGATGCTTCGGCTTGCGTCAAGTGCATTCATTCATTTGCCCAAAGATCACATTTCACAGTTGCTTTTCGGCCTGTCAATTTGGTGGGTTGCGGATTGCCTCCTCTCCTCACCTCTAATAATGGCTGCATAACACGGGCCGCGTCACATTTTGAGCTAAACCCAACCTCACAGGGTAAGGTGAATACACTCGTACTTTTTACTCTTTCCATTCGGCCTTAATTGTTATTCTTTCGCATTCTACCGTTGTGGTGCACTGATGGTCATTACATGTTAAAAAGGTTATTGGTGGATTGCATCTATGATAAGTGATAGAATTTTATTATAAATAAAATGTTAACTTAATTTTTAACCTTTAACTTTTAATTATTATCTTTGTCAAATAATAATAATAATAATAATAATAATTGTTATTCTTTCTTTTAAGAGATATTTTTTTATTCTTAATTTTTTTGAACATTTTTATTCTTATTTTTAAAAAATAATTTTAATATATATTTAAATAAAAAATATAATTTAGTTTAAATGGTATTATACTAAGTAAATTTTTTAATATTAAAAGTTTTTTCTCTATTTAATAGTCCATACTTTATAGTCTAGTGTAGCTTAAATTGTAAATCAAATTTTCTTTTAAATAAAAATGTTTATTTTGTAAAAAGTACATAATACTTAGATATAAATATAAACTTTTATCCATTAATTATTATATTTAAATTTTATCGAAGAAAAAAAAAACTTAATGAACTAAAGTTGACATGAAGGAATAAGTGTTTCACAAGTCCCAGTGGCTTAGATTTGAATTTTAGGTTGCATTTCTGTTGCTCTCCTAAGACACTTTTTCACATAATACCTTATAAAAATGTTAACTTAATTAAATTTAATTGATATTTCGTATTATTTAGTAGTTATATAATGTATAAAATTGTTTAAAAATAATTATTAAATAATAACATAATTTTTTATAATAAAATACTAAAAAATTCTAAAAGCATAACATTTCACAATAATTAAAAGAACTACCCATGAACGGGTGGATGAGTTAGTTGGGACTTTTTCAGCTTAACCAGAGGTCTTGAATTCAAGCTCTGGGAATACAGCTCCGTTAAAACTCATGAGAGAGAGCTTTGCCACCCATTAGGTCCTGCCCAGCTCGAATCCAAATTAATCAGTGGCCCAATAGACTTCTGGATACCGGATGGTCATACCAAAAAAAAATAATTAAAAGAACTAAATTGTGGAGACTTAATGTGGCAGGTGGGCACTTCCGTCACGGAAGAACCAATTTAATTATTGTGTTTTTTCCACATAAGCATTTGAAAATTAAAAGCATTAAATTGTAGAGACTTAACGTGCCAAGTGGGCACTTCCATCACGGAAGAACCAATTTAGTTATGGAAAAATAAACTTTAAGGACGATTTGGGTCCTTTAACTTCATAAAGGACGAACTAAGTTTAGAAATGAAAGTTGAGGGACCAAATTAGGTATTTAACCTTTTATTAACACAAACCAAAAGTTGTTTAATTTGATCATTAAAAACAGTCAATAATTAATAAAATAATTATTATTTATTATTTAACAGATTAATATCGATTTATAAATTGATATTTTTCAATATAATAGCCAAGAAAAATATTATAAACAAATAAAATACCAATTAAATTAAATAATTTTTAAGTAACCTTAACAAAATGATGGATAGTCATAAGACACCCATTATATACATGTAGCCCATTCAAAGCGAAAATTAAAAAAAAAAACGGTATTTCTCTTTAAGGCAAGTCAAATTGGAGCACACAATTTGTGAACTAATTCTCTATTAATCAGAAAGGATCAACTACTAGTTACAAAATTGAAATATTAGACTGAGAACCAATAAGGAGTACCAAATCAGTGACATACAAGGCAGTCAAATGTCTGCAAAGCATGCAAGAATCGAATTATGACACAGAAACCAATAATCTTTGCAGGGGATGGACATCCATGGCATTGTTGGAGGAAAAGTGACCCCCAAAGAGGAAGCTATTCTGGAAATATACAGGGCAAAAGAAAAGGTGAGAAGGGTTTAAAATGGGAGCTTACTTGTCAAGAATAAAATTTGACGAAAGCATCTTGCAGGTGGATACCAATGCATGAGAAAGCAACTTACCTTTTCCCAGTTAGAACTCCAAAGGCTGCAGTAGGAAAATATGATCCAGGAACCGCAGAAAAAACCTTTCTATAGTGAGGCAAAACTATTTGTCCTGTAAGATGTCAATTTGTTATGGTCACGACAGAAAGGCTGTAAACACTTCAAACAAAGAATCTACAAATTACAACCTTATTCTACTCTTTTGCATTTTTAGTGTAAGCTATCAGGACCTCACCTATGCTCAAAAAGTTGCCATGGAGAATTGTAATCAATGTAGCTGACATATTTCCCTCAAAATGCGAACTGCTTCCATCAACAGATGATGACTCTGGAGGATGGATGTAATTGTTGCTACAGGTTACGATTTCAAACCATATGCCAGAAGGAAATCTTCTTCGTTTCACCAACCAAAGGATGATCTTAATGTAAGGTGTAGCATGGATTAATGATATAATGAGTTCAATCAATATACAGGTAAGGCTGATGATTGTGTTCATAATGGTTAAGAAGATATAGAAAACAGAAGTTGTTGGTAGCAGAAGCAGAAGTGGTGCAAACAGAAGTGATCCAACAACATGTTGCTTCACAGTGTAATCATAACTATCTAGTCGCTGACGAAGAGGATTCCACTTTCGCCCCCTGACAACAGTTTAGCAGCACTTAGAACAACATGAAATAAAGAGATGAAGTAAATAACAAACATAGTTTCATTCAATTTAATAAAGAAACTGATGCACAAGTGTGATATCAATATCATCAATAAGTCATGTCTCCAATCAAATGAACTGTAACCTGCATTTGGGTGCAGAAAATGATTTCTTGGATATATGGTTAGGATAATATCTCTTTGTACATAACATTACATATTCAAATTCAACTTATTGCAAGTTTATAATGAATGCCTAAGGCAAGAATTTCAACTGAATGGTCAATTCCAACAAAAAGAACTAGGTTTTAACTTAGTGATTACAAATTCCAGATGAAAAGGTTCTACTGAAGTACCTGCATCGAGGGTAAATATGATGACAAGTAACCCACTTAAAGCATCAAAATAATTATGAAAATTATAGTTTGAAAGATGAAAATTATAGTTTGAAAGCTAAAAACTTACACTTTTAATGATAGTTAAGCACTAACCATTTGTGGATTACATATACAAGATCTGGTAAAACCCTGAACAAGGAATTCTGAAGTAATACCTGAACAGGCGCCACAAAGCTGCTAATGTGTATAGTTGTTGTGAATACAGAATTGAGATCAACCAATGAAGAGTTGACAGATGAAATGTCACTATAAGAATTGTGTCTATGAGCAAAGAAGCAGGTACAGTTACCCCAAAAAGAATTGCCCATATAGCAAGTCCTTTAATGAAATATATGAAGAGTGGACCCACATAGGCCCAAAGTGTAGACCAGATTTGGATGGCATTGAGAGAAACCATGCCAAGAACCCCTGCCAGTTCTGTGTTTAACTTGAAACCTGCAGGAACTCCCATCAACCATACACAGCCAGAACGCAACAACTCATTTGTGAGGTCACTAGCAAAGTTCAAAACCCATAAGTTGATGGATTCTGCATAAAATAAGAACACCAAACCAATGACATGTCCCAAAAAAACGTCAACAGCTAAACTTGACCACATGGAATGCCTATTTAATGCCGCTTTCTCCGCGTACTCCACACTGGACTGGGACCTTAAGAAAAATAAGAATGGTAGGGAAGGAGTTAAAATAAGAATGGTAGGGAAGGAGTTAAAATAAAAACATCAGAAAGTTGAAGCATTAAACAGAAATCACAGTCACAGTGGAACTGAAATGCTTGAATTCTGCAGAAACAAAACTAACCCAATGCTTCTACACTGTTGTAAAACACCTTACAAATTTGAATATTCTTGCAGAAAACTTTGTAAAATAAGTACATCCATGTTTCCAAAAGTTAGGAAGAACATGATATATCAACCAAAAATTTCCAAATATTCCATAAATATCGTCATCACCTAAGGTCATTATCCCAAAGAACCACTGGCCAATACAAAATCTGACAACAACGGATTCGCATATGTACTGATGCATTGCTGAATGCCTTTGCTGCTGCAGTGTACATCCACATCTGTGACCCAAAACTCAATATGCAATGGAAAAACTGAAGAATAATATAGAACATAGTGGACAAAGAAGCAATGAAGAACGCCAATATTTGCCCGAGCCTGACAATCCACATCATGGTACATTAGAAAATGTATAAGAAGCCATGATAAAAGTAAACGACAGAATGAATAGGAGCTTACGTCCACACAAGGAAAGTTTTTCCACAGTATCTCTTGGAACCTTCAAGTCTGTCAAAGGATATCTTAGCAGCACTAGCACTATTGATTGCCAGAATAACTGTATCCTGGTTTCAAAATAACATTGAAGAAGAAACAAATAAAAATAAGAACAATAAATCTATTTGCAGAAAAAAAAAAGGGGGGGGGGGGGGGGAGAGGGGGGGAACCCATGCACTTCTTTACCAAGTCGGTTAGAGGCTGCTTTTCGTGAAGTCCATCAAACCACTTTGGTTTCTTGAGAGGACTTTTTAGGAGTTCAGGAGAACCCCAAACACCCAATGAGAAATGATGCAGACCATACACTGGAGTTTCATAGACTATGATCTGAAATTTTTAGGAAACCAAGCAATTAATCACCACTACCATGAGTTAATAAAACCAGAGTAGATGAAGGCACAACTTACATACGTGAACATCACATTGTGACACAATTTGTCCATTCCAATGAATATGATGCAATTTAGGAATCCAATGATTTTTCTTGTCGGAAAGGACCTGATAATCATATAAGAGCCGGCACCAGTAACTGCTTCCAATAGAAGCTTTTTTGCATCCTTCTACTAATAGATTTAGTTTTTGGCAACCACATCTCTGTTCTCCATAATCTTGTCTGCAAATATCCTGGCTGTTCATTGCAGATACACCACCAAGCCCAGAGGACTTTCTTTGTTCCTCTTTCATTCCATTCTGGGACACTTGCTCATTGCTGAGATGTGCAGTACACTGACCCAGTAAAGAAAACATTGATTTTTCCTGTAAAGATTCATGCAGGATCCCATTTACATTGTGGAGTATTGCCTGGTTAAAAGAAATGGTGAATTTAAATCATCTTGGATGGGCAACTTAAAATGAAAGAATAAGTTATGGTCATGAATGAAAAACGTTCCATGCTACTAGCGCATTTGCAGTATGGCAAGAGACCACTCCACACACAATTAAATCAATTTTACTTTTGGTCACATAATAGCATGGTAATCTCATTCACGACTTGGTGAAAAACAGTGTCATTGATTAAAAGTTTAGGCCTTTTTTAACAAGAGAAGTAGAAAAAAGAATTAATCAGAAATATGCTTTCTGGAGAAGCAACTAATCAACAAAGAGTTATTATCTTTGATAAATATGATATGAAAAACCGAACTCACATAAATAATTATAAAACAATTACGTGCAATTGAGCAATAGATTCATAAATAAAGAAAATAACTTTAAGTTTATACCTCCAGACCAGATTGTGGAGCAGGGACTGACACTTGATTGGATGCAAAAGCTACCACAATATCAAGTGAGGCCTCAGAGCAAGAGACAAACCACCCAAATAGCAGATCGCACAAAGATGGATCCTTTGATAGCAGCTGCTTTGGCCACCAAATCCTACAGTTTCTTCTCATTTTATCCTCATAATATTTGGGTAATATCCATCAAATGGTCATGAAATTCCTACAATTGGAAAGAAAAAGACAATTCAGTTATACTGCAGAGCAAATCGATTGAATGAACATAAAAACATTAACCTAGACAGTGCAAAATGAACTTATTCAGCTACTTAAGTTGATTTTGGTCCATGTAACGGTGTCTTCCCCATCTCGGGACCCAAACAGAAATGGGTAAGGAATAGTTTGGAGGAAAATAGAATTTGAAGACAACCCAAGAACGAAAAACAAAACAAACCCTTGACAGGGAACCACAAGCTTTGCTGAGCACTGAAAATCAGAGCAATGAGAGGAAACTATAATATGGGGATCGTCCAAATATCAGTTTCTAAAGCATGAGTATTGAAAGAGAAAGTAAAAGAAGACTAAAGCATGAATCTTTGCAGGGAGAGAAGGAGTTACCAGCAGAAAGAATTGTTGCCATTACCGGAATCAGAACAATGAAAGATTGGTTGCCCGCTTTTTGTCCCCCCTTTTCACTTTCCTCTCTGGCAAGGCAACACCTTTTTCCTTGGTCACTTGTGATCGCCTGTTCCCTTCTTCATTTCCCCATCTGGGCCTTCAAGAATTTGGGCCTCTTGATGGGTTAGATTGAACTTGGATCAAATTAGTTTTGGACTTCTGGAAAGATTTTTATTTCATTAATTTTACTTGTTTTCTTTTCTTTCTTCCTTCTATTTTCCCAAAATAATTGTCATTTTTTATTTTAATTTTATCTTAAATTAATTATTTTTTATTTTTTAAAATAAATAAATATTTTTTACTTTATATTTATAATTATTTATTTAATTTGATTAATTATCTTATCTTTTAATTTTTTTAAAGATAATAAAAGTAAATACAATATATAAATTGTCTATAAGTTTTTAATTTAAAAAAATCAAAAAATATAATGATTATTTTGAGTTAAAGAAAGAAATAATACATTATTTTTTATTTAAAAGTACATGAAAAATTAAAAAATTAATTGTTTAGTGTTATAAAAATGTAAACTGCTCACGTTAATACTAAATTAAAATTTTTAAATTAATAAATATTACATCAGCCAAACTCTCATTGGTTTAGGGTGC